TATACTCCATATCTTCTTTTCCTTTTTATTATCTGTGAGCATCATATGACAATATATGGCTTCATATTCATAAGACATAAGACAAAGTTGTTTTGTTTATAACTAAGTCAGTGCTGGGAATATAGTAGATAATAAATGTCATTTAGATGGATGAATGCATGAATAAACTTAGTTTGCTAATTAGTGTTATTTATCTTCAGATGAAAGCACTCTTCCAAAAATGCTATACTTTAGTTTACATATATTCTAGAGATTCAGATTTTCTGTTTGTAATTAAAACTCTATAAGCAGCATACTTTATATTAGTATAATACAGGATGTCCATATTTTGCCCCATTAGTCTATCTTATTTTCATCTTTGTTAGAAAAAACTATCATGGCTACATGTATTTGACCTCATTTGACTTAAAATATTTTAGAAACTTGTCTATAATCCAGCCAATAAGTTGTCAAAGCTCATATATTCTCCCTATTATATATTCCTGTTCTTTCAGAATCTTTCTATTTCAGTAAACACCTGTGGAAGAAATCATTAATATTTGAGGTCTGAATGAAACATTAGCAACAGCATGCTTAAACTTTGAAGGAACTTAAAATATTTGTTTCATCCTAATTGATATAAATATGGAGACAGAACATATAATTTAACACATGTCAACAAAGGAGTATGGATATACTTTTAAAATTATTTAAGTTAGGTCAGTGATTCTCCAGTGTGTTTGGAAATCACCTGGGATCTTGCTAAATTGCAGATTCTGGTTCTATAGAGGAGACTTAGAAAAATATACTGCACTTTTCAAAAAGTTCTCAGGTGATTCATATACTTCTGGTCCTAGGAACTCCTAGATGTGAGAGGACATCACATCAGCACCATGGTGTGAGATAATAAAAGCAATACTGTATCAAACTGTGACATATAATGAACACCAGGAATTTGACATCATACACATTATGATGTTCACTGCTTGAAAATTCAATTCAAAGATTACAAGTATCTGCATAATCTCATTAAATATGCAATACATTAGTTAATTAATTTTTGAGACAATACTCTATCTATCCACTTCTCACATGTTATCTAATTTCATGATTGAGACAAATATTTGGAAAAACAAGAATCATATTTGTGAAGATATATTTTTCTCCCCATTCAAAGTGTTTATGATAATTCATAGTGTTTTTTTTTATTTTATGTCTTGGGTTTAATCCAGATACTATTCATATCTCCCCTGCTGCTGATGATGTGAACTGTACCATAGCTTCACTTGGCCTCCTTACTGATTTCCTTTCATTGTTCCTTAACTATCACAAAGGTTTTAGTTCCCCCCTGCATGTCATAACCACAATTACCATAGAAGTTGATGGAACTTGCTATGCTTATCTTTATTAGTCCTCATAGAAATATCAGGAAATCTCCTTTGCTCTCTACAGGTGGCAATTTTTTTCAACAAAATTAATTAGTTTATTCATGGTGAATAAATCTTCCGTTGTCCCCGTGCCAGTTGGCTTCTTGTGCTTCCACAGTAGGAAGTTTTTTTTTTTTTCTTATCCCTTCCTCTCACTCATCTCCTACCATCCTCAGGGTATTACACAGCAGGAAAACCCAAAAAACAAAGATCATTTAGCTTATTTTTCAACAGATTTCTAGCTTAAGAATGTCAGCATGTAGTATGTTATTTCATTTTGAAATCAGTGGTACTTTGTTCTCTCATTTGGTTTCCAAAATTATTTTTAGAGATCTACACTGGAAAAATATCAGGCTAGTGATAATTAAATAATTCATAACCATACATATCTTACCAAATATTGTTGTGTAGCTTTCCAGAGTCAGTTTATGGCCATAAAAGTTGATATTTGGAGAGGTAAGGAGTCATAAAGGAAAGTATCACATAATAATAATAGTAACAGTAATAATAATAATTATAGAAGTACTAGTAGGAATAGTAATGGAAAAAGAATGTAGAAAAAAATATTTGTATTCACGGACTGGTATGCCTCTATAAGCATATTTTTCAATGTTCTAATTGTATAAACATAATTGCTAATATAATGTTAATTACTCTGGTCATGTTCCCCAAACCTCAAGAAAAGATATTCCAAGATATTTTTCCTAAACATCAGTGAAGAAATTAAGAAATTAGAAAATGGTGGAGAAAACAGCTGAAAATTATATACTAGGTAGAGTAAAATAATGTGGTTAAGAAATAGCTAGCTTTGTGCCAGTTCTCTTATTCATCACTGTATCATTCTTCATTACACATTGTAGCAATTTTGCTTCAAAAATTATTTTTAATAACATATCACAAACAATGTGCCTATTTTAGGATTTTATATTAGCTGTTCCCACTTGTCAAATTCTCTAACTCCTCATCTCCTCCTATTCAAATCTCAAACTAAATGGGACCAACTATGAAATTTTTCCTTGGATCAAAATGTCTAACCTTTCAATGATTCCCTAGCACATTGTAACATTTTCAAATAGAGTCTAATTAGGTATTTCCTCATGGTCTTTAATTATTGGATGTCAGGTACTCTAGAATACAATAAGGTTCATGAGAACTGCAAAGTTTTACATCTTTTGATAATTAGAGTGTCCTCCAGACTTTTACTTCAATCAGAAAAATTGAAGCACACAAAGAATATTTGCTAATATTTGTAAATAAAGATAAAAAGGGACATGGAAGATATACCTTTTTACAAATATTCATATATTTATTTTTATTTTCTTAAACAAAACAAAGTAATATGCATTGCAGAAAATGAACTTATGTCTCATTTTTAAAACTATGTAAAATGTTCTATAAAACCTTAGTCTGCCTAAAACACTGCCCTTACCTTTTTATAATCATCCAAAAAAGGTGAAGCACAAAAGCCCTAAAACTGAAATAATGTTGTTTTGTTGTTCTTGTCACCAATTGTAGCTAGGTAGCAATATTGTCATTTTAGGATTCAAATCATCCAGAAGAGTGCAAATGAACATTTTTGTAAATGGTATAATAAAACACATGGAATTTTAATTCTAGGTTGAATTTACATTTTCTTACAAGTCAGTCTCAAAGTGTAATTAATTAATTATTACAATTAGCATATATCACATTGTTTTCTACTTGAAATATTAATTATCTAGAAAAGGTACATAAAAGGAAGATATGTGTGGCTATAGGGAGGGTAGTAAATAGGAGACTGGCTTTTTTAGATAATCAGTTTTTTGAGGTTATGATGGTTATGTTGCAAATAGAATACCTACCTGATAAACTATGGATATCTGACTAAAATTTGACAGCTCTATTTCTTATGACGTATGGTGATAAATATGTGGAATAAAAATATTTTCTTATGGGATTTACGGAAAGCTGGCTGAATAATTATAATTTTCACTTCTAGGGTTAGTTAAAATAATTGCACTGATAATAACAGGGCAATCACGTCAATGTGTAGACACTAGTATATTCTGGTTTGAAACATATAGTTGTGAAAATTCTCTGTCATAAATTATGCCTTTCTTATTCTTTCAAAAAAGGGAGCATAAAAATGTGTTTTCTACCTCCCTGTTGCCACACCATAATTTAGTACTGGCACAGCAATCCTCCCAGCATATCTAATGAGTTTCTTGGTCCTATTTTAAAGCTTTAAATCTTCATAAATAATAGCTAAGTAAACTTAAGGCACTTGGACAATTTCTTTAGCTTAATGTATTCAAATCCACCATTGGCACTTCATTTCTTTTCATTTAAATATAAATCTATCTTGTCTCATGAGGCTCTACATGAATACACACACCTAACAATATAAATCAAAGCAACACATGCAGAATGATGAAATCTGCTGGTTACCTTTGGAAGAAATAGGCCATTTTCAGAAATGTCTCAAAATCTCCTTTTTTTAATAAGTCATACATATTCTTAAACTGATTCACAGCCACACTGTGTTCAAATGAGAATTTTTCACACATAATTGAGAAACTTTTCTCCATGAGTATATTTATAAATAGATGAGTAATATTTTGAATGCTTCTTCAGAAGAGAAGTTTCCTGTCACACATTACTCATCAAAAATTTTATGCCATGACTTTTTATATGGTTCTATGGCTGCTACATTCATACTGTAACTTTTGTATTAAATCTTAAAATATTAAATAGGATAATGACAATTCTCAAAAGCTTAATTATGTAGATAGTCATCTACCTACCCAGCATCTCTACTTAATTAGCTAAAGTGTAAATAGTTATATTACAAACAAACATCCAGCTATAACATTTCAGAAAACAAAACAAAACTAACTTTAAAAACCCTATATGCCTTCGGTTTAGAATCCAGAGTAAAATATAAAACTATATCAAAATAATAGCAAAATACCTAAATGTTGCCTGTTTTTAAGGTGGACCTTCACAGGGCTTGAAGTCCCTAATGAGAACTTGCTGCTACTCTTGTAGAGGAGCAGGGTTCAATTCCCAGAACCCCCATCATGGTTTATAACCATCCTTAACTCTTGGTTCTGGTGCCCTCTTCTGCCCTTCAAAAGCATCATCTGTATACCTGGTGCACATAAACTCATACAAATACTCATATACACAAAGTGAAAATAAATAAATACATAAAAATACATTTTCAAAGATGGGAAGGCAGTATGATGTTTATGATCACCTTCTGGCTTGCCCTTCTAATTATCTAGTATTTCATGCATGTAATACTAAAATTAATGTTAATTATAAGCCAGTAAGGATTCACCTGGAAGCAGTTTATAGAGGTTTACACTTGTAATCCTAGCTACTCTGAAGGTTGAGGCAGAAGATTAGAATTACAACATCAAATTGGGCTTCATAACAAGTTCAAGGCAAGCCTCAGAAGATTGGTCAGATCCTGTCTCAAAATACAAACATTCTAGAGATATTGCTCAAAGAAAATGTCCTTGCCTGGTATGTATAAGCTGTTATGTTCAACACACACACACACACACACACACACACACACACACACACACACACACACACACAACTTACTTGCTTTGCTTTTCCATGCTAGCTACCCTGAGGCACTCCCATCTTGAATTTAGGAGATTCATTTGTTCTTGTACTTCAGTTTCTTCATCTTCAGATAATTTTCCTTTTCCAACTATTCGACTTCCTAACTGTAGAACATTACCGACACGTCCTTGGTGGGATGTTAAATCCATCATGAACCCCTGACAAGAAAAAGTTAATGATTGTAATCAGCACTTTAGGAAACCATTGGGAATTTGAATTTGATTATTTGCAATTTTAAACCTGCATCCCATTTAAATGCATATTCTCATTAAGTGTATCTTTGTTTTTATATCATGGAATTTTACATCACTTTAAATATGAAGTATGGAAAATTATGATCTTAGGACAACTTCTGAGGAAGAATATCCTATGTGGAGCATTTTAGGGCAGAATATTTATTAAGCAGATCATAGGAGTACCTGCAGAAAAGTTAAAGAAGCAGGAAACGGCTGTACATGCTTATTATCCCAGAACAAACGAGAATGAGGCAAGAGGATATCCATTACGTCAAGGCAAATCTCAGTTACATAAATAGTATCAGGCCTTCTAGAAATGTGTGAAAGACCTGTCTCAAGTAGGGGAAACAAAGGGTATGCTATGTGGGTACTAATCTGAGCAAGTGTATAATCTCAGGTAATTTCTCTCACTGAAGATCCCTCAACTTGCTTCCACACATATACTCATGATGTGCCTTAGAACTGTTATGCAGGATGATAAGTAGGTGCTCTGGAATGTACTTGAGAATGAGGGCTCAGTTTTGCTCTGACACAAAGGAAAAGGCTGTATTTTTTTGTCCTAACAGTCATTGCAAAGCCACTATCAACACCTCAGACTTGTCCCCCAAAGCAGAACTTCAAATGCTGGTTGCTCCCATCCAAAGCACAAATGTTATTTGTTAACATCTCATCATTAACACACAGATAAACAAACAGATTTCCAAAATGGAAGTGTCATACACTTTTTTCAGAATAACTGACAGACTTGTCACTGTAAATCATGGCTTTAGCTTCATAAATCAGTGTTTTGCTTTACCTCATGAGCATGGAACTGTTCTTTCACTTTTTCAACATCATTTGAAATCTCTCCTTGGGCTTGCAGTGTGTCCTCTGCACACAGAAGCCACGAGAGCACTTCTTCTAAAGCAGTTTGGTAACTATCCAGGTTTACTTCAGTCTCCATCAGTGAACTGCCAAATGCCTTATCTTGAGAAGCTTCCAAATGCTAAACAATAAAAAATTGGTGTTATACAATTAGTTGTTTTACAGACTGCTTTCGGTACATGAAATGATAAATTGAAGAAAATATTTTAAATGCTAGAAATGTCCACTTGCATTATCAGAGGCATGAACAGCAAACACATAAAATAGTGAGCCTGCATTTTAACATTCTCATGAATACACACACAATTTCTCAAATGAAACTTGAAATCCACACCAAATTAACGTTTTAATAAAGCTCATCTGTATTACACTAAAGAGTGACTCACTGCATCTTCTCTTTATGTTGAATCTTAAATGCTATGAAATGGCATTCACAAGTTCATTTTCCATTCATATATACATCAGCTACATATGTGTAAGTGTTTATGAAAACAATTTTTTAAATGTTTGAATAAATATCCAAAGATCCCAACAGTATATCACTTGCATCAATTATTTAGTACCAGAATACAATGATTGAGTATGAAATATTATGAGAAAGATGTGAAGTATGCTCCACTCAACTTAATTAGGCTAACATTGAGCAAGATGTCAAACTGTTTTCTTAGACTACCTGCTAGGCCATTAAAGCTAAGGAGAAAAGGCGATTTAAAGTAGTCATAATCTAAAGAGTGAATCTAATCACCTATGAAGTGATTGATAAAAAGTTATCATAAACTGACCTCATAAACCTTAATTATTACCCTATTCAATGGCATATAAGGAAAAGCAAAGAGATTAATTATAGATATACATTGACATTGAGAAAGGATTCTGCTGCAGTGACTGAAGTGTACTGCATGGCAGTGACTTGGCCCCACCTAAATAGAAACAAGGTAGTTTACAACACAAAATACTGGCCTCTAAACCTTGGATATCTTGGCAGTTTCTGCTGTTATACAATTGATATTCAATGATAAGGATGCTCTCCTGGGATAACCTATGTGCCGCTTTACTTTTATATTGTCCAATAACCAAGTGAAGCAACAACAGAACCCTGAACACATGAGAAAGTCTGCAGTTTTTTTTTTTTTAAAAAAAATCAAGTGCATGAATAGATTCTGTACTTGAAAATCAGAAAAAAAGAACATACTCTTAAGGGCTTCACCCAGAACTGTGAGACATAGACAAATATCTGATAGAATGAAGCAGATGAAAGTGAGCATTACCTCTTAGGGTCCCTTTTTGCAACTTCCTTCTTAATTTTGACTTGACACTTAACTGTGGAGAGTATTTTGAGAGGAAAAGGAACAATACACCAAGGAGCTAGATTTAAGCTGTAAACCTTTCAGAAACTATCTTGCCTTTGAGTGTTCCCACACAAATAGTCACTCTTGTACTTAGGCTCTGTTTATAGTAGTGAGGCTGAGTACTTTTCACTTATCAGAATGGCCTACACTTGTCAGTTCCTTATACACAGGAAACAAGTACAGCATTCACGAAGATATCACAGCAACAACTACTGTTGTCTTAAGTTTAACATGAATGATCAAGGATATTGATCATGTCCTTGATTACCAAGATAACATTCCCATGTTAGCCAACCACTTATGCTGAAATCAATGATACATAAAGGAAATGTACAATGATTCACAGTTCCTTTTTGAGACAAGTCCTTCTTTCCTCAGTTAGATGAAGAGAATTAGAATAAAAGCTTAGGAGGAAGTCAAATAAAAACATCTGGGTTCATTTTGTCTTTACACTTTCTAATAGAAATAAAATCTATAGGAACACAGTAGTAACAGACTGCAAAATACATAACCTAGCAAGTTTGAACTCTTATTTGCTTCCATAACTAGAATTACACAACATAATAGAGACCAGTGAAGTTCACCCTAATACTGTAATTTTTATTTTCTTGATTGAATCTAATGCTAAATAACAAATGAATAATATTATGAAACACTTGATAGAATGCTTAACTTAATATAAACACATAAGTTATCTATAGTTATAATTATTAATGAGTTTTTGCACATACAGATATAGCAGCTTTAAAAACTGTAACCATCCCTAAAATAACTGTGTTAGGCAACTGCTGAGATTTCAAGTGTCAGAATATTGATGTAGAAAAAAGTGCCCCCACAAAACTGAATAGAATAGGTATAAATTTAAGTCAGCTCTTTTTGTATAGTTTGCAGCTCAACCTGGAACCAATAAAAATCTTTTTTTTTCATTTTTAAATTTATTTATTAAATTTAATTTTACATATCAGCCATAGATTCCCTTGTTCTCCCCCCTCCCCCCACCCCCTACCCCTCTACCCCCCTGCCTTTCCCTCAGCCCACCCCCCCATTCCCATCTCCTCCAGAGCAGACTCCCCCGAGGATTGAGTTCAACCTGGTAGATTCAGTCCAGGCAGATCCAGTCCCCTCCTCCCAGGCTGAGCCAAGTATCCCTGTATAAGCCCCAAATCTTACATTCAAAAAAATGCATCTAAATGATACACTTTAAAAAGAATCATTGTTATATTAACAAAATTACATTTTATCATTTGTAGAAATTGTTTAAACAATTTAAGGCATTTTATGCTTTACTGATGTTTAAAGGCTTGCATTTGAGAAAAATATTAAAAATCACATACTATTGAGACATCTTTAGAAGATATATCTAAAACTCATAAATCATGAATTTAACTTTTTGTATGAGGATATACATATAAAAGTAAAATATGTTCAAAGACAGCATCTTAAATTTAAATTTAAGCAAGGGTAAAATGTTTCAAATTACATACATATAAACTATTACTCATATTCATAAATTAATTTTTATATATGTATATTAATCTATACACATGAAGTTATGATTTAAAATTGTTATCTGGGCTCTGAACAATCCTTTCTTGGCAAGGATAATTTTGTTTCAAATTCCAATTTGTGATTTATCAATAATTTACAAAATATTCTGGTGAGTTATAATCAGAAATAATTTTAAATAAAACAAAATTAGAATATCAGTCTGTTACTTACACTAAAGATTAGTATTATTTTCTTAATTGTTTTTCCTAGGTCTGTTATATATATATAATGTATAAGCATATTTTATCTCAGTAAAGTTTTTTTGTAGTTCTTGAAACAAAATTTGAAATGATTTTAGAATTTAAATCACCATAAAATATAAAAAGAAAAAATGTTTTAATTCCACATTTGTATATTTACAATAGATTACTTGGATAATATACACTTATTAAACTGTCTTTCATAGTAAATTTGGAAATAAATCAATATTTAGAGAAAGTTATGATTTCAGTTTCAACATCCCAGAATATGTTTCATCATCATAGAACTTCATATTGAACCTGAGTTTGTGGAAAGAGTTCATACATGGCATCCAAATGAGTTTCTAAAAATGATGATCTTTGGTTTCTACAGTTACATGCGTTGGAAATACAGACACCAATCATTTAATTTTCTTACTAAGTTCCAATTCTATTTTATTTAACTTTTTGTCTTCGTGACAGTACTTTCCCACGAACCACATTTTCAAAATAATAATTAGAAGAAGGTTGTAATAATTAATGAATTAAACAATATTTTATTGTTTTCAAAATCTATGAAGTAAAATCTCTACTTTGTCTACATATTTTATGTAGTGGGTAGCCATTCCAGCTTTGATCTGGAAGTTCCAACCCCTTTTGAGGCTTCGGTAACTGTCACACCTACAAGGCGGGGGCAAGAGAGGACCCTGAAGCCCGGAGATCCGGATGCAAAGCCCGCTCTCTTGGTTCCTGGACCCTGGACACTGGAGGTAGACTGAGCAGAGTTCTCCAGAGAACACTGCCGGACTGCGCTATGTCTTTCCCAGACCCTGATACCTGTCCCTTCTCTTGTAAGTTACCCCACAAAATAAACCTCCCTTTTAACTATGTGGAGTGGCCTTAATAATTTCACCAAAATTTTATGTTTAAGTACTATGGTTTTGTGTGAGAAAATAGTAGAAACTATAACCTATGTTTCTTGATGACATTGTTTATATATAAAGATGGAACGGTAGAAATAGAAGTGGTAAAATGATGAGAGAAAACAAGTGGATAACATTTTAAATCCTGCAGTGTCTAACATCAACTTGGGAAATGGATTTGTACTGACAGTTTCTAGTAATAAAAATTTCCAGTAATAATTTCTATTACTTCATAGCATAATGTACTATTATATGAACTTGATAATCACGTATCCTTAAATCCAGTCTACTCTTTCTATGATTTTAGTTAAATCACATCACCATCATATATCTTATTTTGTCCATCTGTGAAAAGAGACTATAAAAATATGTACCATTAGATTTGTTGGAAGGTTGTATTGGATAGTAAACATAAAATATTTTACACAGTATATATTCCAAGTAATGTTCAGCAATCCCTACATTTATAGAGCAATATTCAATGAAATGGCAAATGATTTTCATTAGGAAATAGTTGAACAAGCTAAGTGTGTTTTAGAAAGCATAATTTCGGCAATTTGAACTGATACAAGTTCTCAAATGCCTACTTAGATACACAGAAACTAGAAATGCACAAGCCACAAAGCATTAGGAAAAATAGATGTGATGTTTCTAGTGAGAGACATCTAACACAGACCAGTTTCATGTCCCTGCTGAATTTAGTCACTTTTGGCAGTATTCCCAAGTTCAAACCTCAAAATGAGATACAATATTTAACCTGGTTAAAACTGCCATTCTTATTCTTTAAAATATACTTTTAAATTGTTTATTCTTAGTTCATTTAAGTATGTAATAATTCTTTTTATGTGGTCTAAGTCAATGCATACATTGTGAATTTTTTGTTTTTTCCATAATCTTTTTATCCCTCTCTGAAAGATTATTTCAGTGCTAAAGGATTACAGATGGATAACCAAGTACCACTTTTAATAAATAACAGAGGCACAATTCAGATGAATTCACTATTCGGATCTGGAGATATTCTTGCCACATTTCCTTCTGTTTCTTCAGAGGTAGAATATAAAACCAGGATTTTGTTTAAAGTATGAAAAATGATTACAAAAGTAATTCATGAGAGTTTAATCC